CAGAAATAGCAGTCAAGCAGAGGAAAACCCGAGACAGTCCGGGACAGACCGGGGAAGTCGTGTCGAAGCAAAGCCAGTATCGCCAAGCAGGAAAGTGTGGGCGGTGTAACACGAAGCACGACCCGAAGAAATTTCCCGCATACGGCAAAGAATGCTACAGATGCAAAGGAAAAAATCCCTTCGCGACATGCTGCAACACAAAAGTTCTGTTGATAGCGTGCACGACGTGCCCGAGGACCATGTTCGAGGTCTTGGAAGTGCAGAATTGCGACAAGGGCGAATGTTGGGTACAAGCGCAAGTGGCTGGGAAGCGTATTGACCTAAAGGTAGATACGGGAGCACAAGCTAACCTGCTATCAAGGAAGTGGCTCCGCCAGATCGACGAGGCTATTCCAGTGACCAGGATAACTTCTGGATTACGGCACTACAACGGCAACGTGATCAGCTACTATGGAGCTGCCGTTGTCACTGTAAAGTTACGAGGCAAGGAAGCACGAGTGCAGTTTTTCATCGTGCAAGACCACCATCGACCGCTCCTAGGACTGCCGGCATGTGAATACTTCGGACTCGTGAACCGCGTTGACGATGTGTCGGCCAGGGTGCCAAATGACATAATTGAGACCTTCCCAGAACTCTTCCACGGGCTTGGATGTATCAACAAAAAGTACAAGATGGTACTCAAGCCCGGATCCGAGCCAGTCATCCAAGCAGCACGCAGGGTGCCCCACCTTCTGAGAGAGCCGCTGAAGGACGAGCTGGAGCGCATGGAAAGGGCTGGAATCATCACGAAGGTGGACGAGCCATCAAACTGGCTAAGCCCACGAAAAAGGATGAAAATTGCGAATGTGCATGGACCCTAGGAACGTCAATGAGAGCCTACAAAGCGAACATTTCCAAATACCGAAAAGAAAAGACATCAGGCAGAATTGGCAAACGCGAGTGTCTTTTCGAGACTTGATGCCAACGCGGGCTTCAATCAAATACCGCTGGAAGACGCAACATCGCGAATCTGTACATTTAGTACGTCCTTCGGTCGTTATCGCTTTTTGCGATTACCGTTCGGCATAGCATAAGCGCCGGAAGTTTTTCAGAAAGCGATGACTCAGATATTTGACGGTCTTCCAGGCGTACGTGTGTACTAGATGACTTGTTAATTTGGGGAACCAGCAAAGCGGAACATGACGAGTGACTGCGTAATGCTCTCAAAGCTGCACGCAAAAGTGGTATTACCATGAATGCTGTGAAGTGCCAGTTCGGAGTGAGCGAAATCACTTATTTGGGAGATCGAATAAGCAAGACAGGGATTAGGTCTTACCCCTGTTTAGTACAGAGTGTTGTGCAGATGCCAGCTCCGACAACTAAAAAAGAGGTTCAGCGAATCCTTGGAATTTTCCCATATTTCAGCAAAAACATACATTGCTGCACGTAGAAGACGAAGCTGCTCCGAAGTCTTATGAGAGACGACACGCCTTTCGTCTGGGAGCCACACCACGCACAAGAATGGCACGATCTCAAGGTGGTGCTAACAAATGCGCCGCTGCTGGCGATCTACGACCCCACACGAGATACCAAGGTGTCTCCAGAGTCTAGACGCATCAAGGTATGGCCTAGGCGCAGCGCTGTTTCAACTACATGGTGCAAACTGGCGTCCAGTAGCTTACGGCTCTAGAGTGCTCACAGAATGTGAGTCAAGGTACTCCCAAATAGAAAAGAAAACACTTGGTACTGTTTACTGTTGTGAGGTGCTCCACGACTTCATCTACGGGAGGAGAATAACTTTAGAAACAGACCATGAGCCACTAATCGCCACCTCTAAGGAATCTCTTGGCGACATGCCGCCCCGTCTTCAACGTTTCTTTATCCGACTAATGAAGTATGACTATTGCTTTCAGTTCGTCCCGGCAAACAGCTCGTCCTGGAGAATGCGCTCTCACGGGCACCGCTACCAGGCAGCCCAAAGAGGGCACCGCACAATGACGTGGAGGTTCACGCAATCTCCGTCCTCTCCAGCTTGGTGAATGAGGCATCGTCCACGAGGCTCAGACAGGAAACCGCGAACGATGCTGTGTCGGACACTTTGGTCAGGTCAGGTCTGTTCGAAACAACTAGCCGGTGGCAGGAGACTTTAAGGCATATTCTTCTGTGTTGTCGGTGATTGACGGCATGCTCTTCGAGGGTTCTCAGGTAGTGAGACCGAAGAGTCTCCGCCTAGAGATGCTAAAGAGGCTTCATGAAGGTCACTTGGGCAGCAACAAGTGTAAAGCTAAAGCGTGGCTTTTGATGTTTTGGCCGGGAATGACATCTGAGATTCAGGACATAACTAGAAAGTACATGCCACATGCGAGCAGTTCGCGTATAAGCATTCAGCAGAGCCCTTATTAATGAGGCAGACTCCGCCTCAGCCATGGTCCCGAGTTGGTGCCGATTTGTACGAGTATGCTGGGAAAACGTACTTCATTGCGTTTGACGCGTACTCTAATTATCTCGAGGTGGAGCCTCTAGACCACACCACAACAGCTGTGGTAGTCCACAAGCTTGCAGGAATTTTTGCAAGACATGGGGATTCCGCTAGAGTTATGCAGCGACAATGGTCCCCAGTTCTCCTCAAAAGAGTTCCGGGATTTTGCGAGGCGGTACGATTTTCGGCATGTCACATCCAGTCCGTATTTACCGCAATAAAACGGTCTCACGGAAAAGGGCGTTAAGAAAATTAAGAGAATTATAAGAAAATCCTGTCACTCAAACGGAGATTTCTACCTAGGTCTCCTCAACTATAGATCATAACCCTTGGAGGACGGAAGACCACCCAGTGATCTGCTAATGGGACGACGCATCAGGTCGCTGGTCCCTGACACTGCGGCGGCGGCGGCGGCATCCGTGTCGAGGCTCGCGTTGGGGCCGGGATGCCAATGACCTGTGGAGCGACTGGGGCTGCACTAGTTGCTGTGGGTGGGCTTTGTGAGCAAGATGTGCCCGAAAGGTTCGTAGATGGCTGGGGCCAGGTCACCATGGGTGCGTCGTTGTTGTCGGGCTGAGGGTCAGGGACAAAGACTTCGGGCGTTGCGATGAGGTGTTGCCGGTTGCGACGCAACTCTCTCCCGTCCTCTGTTACGACCCTGTAGGACTTTGCTGCCACCTTCTTTTGAAGGTGGCAACCAAGGTCCTGCAGGCTCCACGGTGAAGTTAGATCCTGACTTCACCGTGGAGCCCGCAGATCACGTGAAGAAGCTAGAGCAGCTCCGACCAACGAGGCACCTACCATCACTCCAGTCAGGGGACGTTGTCCTCATAAGGGATAGAAAGGGGTAGTCAACCAAGGCCAAAGAGTATGTTAAAAAAGAAAAAAAGGAAGGGGTAACGGGAACGTGCTCCACCAGTCAACCAAGCTCGTGCCCGGGCAGATCGCACAGACGCCATAAAAAAAAGGTTAGCCCTAGTTGACCTCCCGCTGTGCGAACATTCTCTCGCGCTGATACACCCAAGATGCATGAAAAAAAAAATCAAGCGTGAAATGTTAACAGATAAGCGCTTAATTGGAGACGTAAACCTATGCTTTTTACTTGAATTTTATAGAAGAAAGAACCACTTTGGCTGGAACTTAAGAAATTAAGGAAACATAAACTACATCATTACCACTATAAAAGTTTTATGATTTCAATACATGCATGTCCTAAGGCAATCTGCATAGCTGCATCTTTAATTGGATTCAAGAGTTTATGCATGCATTTGATATATAAAAAAAGATATCTATGCTTTTGTTGGATATCAAGATGAATTGCGAAGTTGCATCTCAAAAAAGTTGAAAACACGTAATTCAAAAAAATATTAAGAAAACAACATCTTTATTCAGCGTTGCCCTTTTTACACATGAGGTTTGGTGCAAAGCTCGGTGGCTTCGTTGTCTCAGCAGCCACCCACGAGCTTGCTCTGTACATTCTTCTTTTCCCTCAACTCTTCATATATAACACGCTGCATTCACCTTCAAGTATACACATCCAGTCTGAGTATAAAAGATTGGAATGTTCAGAGCACCCTGGAACACCATAGGTGCCTTCGCCAGCATTTGGCAGTTTGGTTCCGTGCACCGTTCTTTTGCCGAAGGCACTTAAACGGCTCCCCAGTTTTTATTTAAAAAAAACGAAAACGAAACCCCAAAACAAAAATTTCGCGGTTCTAAGGTCAAGTCCCTAGTGAGAAGGAGAGACTGGCAGGTGTCTGCGTTTCAGAACTGTCCGATCACTTGGGTGCGGCATGCCGGCGTACAGTTTGGAGTGCCTGGAGGAACGCTTGAGTACCTCAAAGAGTGCGCAGGTTCATTCCTGTTCAACGCTATCACTGAATGTATTTTCCTCGGAGGAAGCTAGTATCTCCATCTATACACAGTATCACAGACGGAACACACACTGGTACAATATTTACAACGTTCAGTACGTACATCTTCACGTAGAATTTAGAATCACTTTTAGAAACAATGAGAAATAATCTACGCTCGCTTTAAAGAGATAGTCGGGGCAAACAGTTCGTCATCGAGCGTTACTTCCTGGCTTCTAAAAACTCTCGAACGACAAGCCATACAAGACATTTTTTTTTCTTTTTACTGAATCTTGAAGCCTAAGAGAAAATAACAACTTATTGATCGAGCCTCATTTATTAACATCTTATCTCGCTTCATAGTGCTGACCTGATGAACACTTTGCGCTTGTGGTCGTTGGCAGCACATCTTCTGTTTCATCTCTAGAGCCAAATTACTGCTTAGTAAGTGCAACTGGGAAATAAATAAAAAGATATTATTCAAATTTCTTGAATAGTGACGTAAAAAACAACACAGTGGTGTCTTTAAAAGTATGCTGTTGGTCAAACAATTTGTTGTAAGGTCACAGACCTCGAAGATACTTTTCCAGCTCTCATAATGGAAGCAGAAGTGGGGTTACCATCGCACAATGCTTGCTCACTTCGTGGTCTACAAGCTTCGCACCCAAAAAAGGAAACCAGGCAGCACTCGTACACGTGACAATGCCGCACCGAAGTAGAAACAAATAGGAAAATATAGTCACAAACCGAAACGACGATTCTGAACAAACAAAACGACGGACAACACTCAGTAGTAGTCTTGGAAAACTAAAGGACAGTTCTTCTCTCACTTCCTGTAGGACAGCTGCTGCTCCTGCGCGTTCGCACCACGGACGTCGACGCGACAAGAGCATCCAGCCGGGAACTTAAACAGCGTGACCTGGGGACTCCTCTCAGGGTTCCAGGGGTGCAGGGCGAGCAGCCGGTGAAGGCTGTACCGCTGCTGGCAGGTCGACTCGTAGAAGGGCGCGATAAACGAGCACGGCTGGTCGGGCTTCCTGCGAGGACGCGTTGAAGAAGCGCGCTGGTCAGAACCACGCATGATGCCGCTCAGGGTGCATCCCGGGCGTAAACGTACGCCTGGGATATCAGTTCGTTACGTGCTCTATTTTAGCACGTTTCGTTGACGCATTGATAAAAAACAATGAGTTGAGCAGTGCAACGATGCTGAAGAGGACGCATGATTCCAATTAACACTCTTCAATTACTCTTAAAATATCTGTTCTTTACGTGTAATATTTTAGTACTTTTTGTTGATGCGTTATTGATAAAGAAAATGAGTTTATCAGTACATCGGTGCTGCGGAAACGTATGAAAAGCGCAGAGGGTGTGTTACCCTAATTACGTACAGTCCTGTACTGGTAAGTAAATTCTATTGTTTTCAGTCCAAGGCGATTAATTAATAAGGTACGTTGTTGATCCAGTCATGCTAGACAAGAACATAAAACGTTCGTGAAACCGTTGGAATACAGTGAAATTCGAGGTTTAAAATAGCCAAAAAGCCGGACATGGCTGAGCATCCAAACGAAAAACAGGTACCATTGCGAGCCCAAGATCTTATTGTATGCCAATATTGAATACAATTCGAAAACCAGTTGCACACGGCACGAGACTGTACGGTAGAAATAAGAGCCTTTCTGTTAAAGAATTGAAGAAGTAACGCACAAAAATTATGACACTTGTTAAATTGTGGTTTCTTTTTCATATCTATGTTGAATAAGCGAATTCAAAAATCGTTTAAATACAAGCGTGTGTCAACAGGCCAACTAAAAAATTTAGGTAATTTCTCGGTAATCTATTTCGCGGAATCCTCTGATGAGGACACCGCGTTAACCGCTGCAGATAACGGAGGAGAGAGGGTAGGCCCTCGGGTTCTTCGAGACTGAGTGGAATCGTCTTCCCTATCTGCCTCATCGCCCCCGCGACGTACTAGTCCTCCACGCTCCTGCGGACGAAGTAATGTGAAGTGACGCCAGAGAATGCAAGCTCACACTTACTTGCAACTCTCGGTGCGAACCTTCTGCGGGAAGACGTCCGTGTTGATGACGACCATCCATTCGCCCGAGATGGCGTCCTTGGCCCAGCCGGGCCTCATCGTGTTAGCGTCAGTCTCACAGGCAAAGGCTCCTCGTGCCGCTGAGCTGGTGCCCAGGTGGTTGGGGAACAGTTCGGGGTCTCCGACCGTCTGCAGCTCCTCGTACATTATCTTGATCTTCTTGAAGCTCTTCTCCACCATCTTACCCACGAAATCGCTGCCGAAAAAAGGAAGCATTCAAGTCGGCGTCAGCCAGCGCCGCGCCTCGGATGTGTGGGGTGGAGTTGGTAGAAGGCTCTTTTACACGGGATTTGTTAAATAATTTGGCGATTTTTTCTTCGTGTTTTTGTGCTGCTCTCGGGGAGACAAAAGGCTCGTCAAGCAACACCTAAGTATTGGTGTCGCGATTTTTTGTATAATCTCGGGGTTCGACTGGTACGGTGAACTTCGGAACTTTTATCAAAGTTTGTCATAGTTCAATTTATGGGTAGTGTTGCCCGAATTGTACACAACAATTTTGAATTATTTGAAAACTAGCAACTTATACAGTAGTTTATTTTATATTTTATAAAATGACTACCAATCTTTAGAGAGCATAAACATGTGTACTTTTAATGCTCTAATTAGTTCCTTAACGTTAAAGAAATGCCGTAACTTTCCTCCGCCAAGTGGCGTCAGCTCAATTTTCAAATTTTCGCGCATGCGCACAAAAGTCGAACTTCTTGCGAAGCTTCGTCGATCTTCGTGTTATAAATTTGGACAAGTCGAACCTATTCGAACTCGAACTTCGGCAGGTTCGCGACATTCCAACACCTGAGTTGCTTTTCTCCCTGCCCCCTCTCTTCCAATACAAAGAAATACATTTTAATTTAAATTTCTGAAGTTAAAAACCACTTTGTTTAGGTACATCAATGACCTGTGACATTCACTGGACGTTAGCAATAAAGCTCATAAATATTCGGGTGCTGCTGCCGGGGTCCACAAAATGAGGCCAGCTACGAATGGGCAAAGTCATAGTCCTGAAGCTCGTACATAATATATGTTACTCACGCTGGATAGTCGTTTGTGAGAACGCAGAAGTTATCGCCCTGGACCTTGCAGGGCGGGAAACCTCCGTCGGGCAGAGGACGGTCGGGACGCGGAACCACGACGGGCGGTCCCGTGGGTGGCTCGTCATGGTGGTACTGGGGACGGTCCGCTCCGGGGGGCGGCCTCTGAGGTCGCCCGACTGGCCTGCAAGGAGAACCACGCGCGAAGAGACTCTCAGTATGTGGTAGATTGCAGGCGTGCTCTGATTAGTATGCTTGATCTATTAGGAATGACTCGTTAATACTATAAGATTTGTAAATGAACACGTTAAGCTGACTAGATATGTCCTGTTTGCGAAATAAAGTAGTTGTTCTCGAGTCTGTACTATACTCCGTTCCACCTTACGTCCGGGCGGAGAGGATGCTACGAGACTTCGGAGCCAATCTAGGGCCGTGTGAGTGTCTCATGTGACCTTTGAATGGGCTCTCGTTAGGCCTATCGACCTGACGAGCCCGTGGTCGTGGGCCGTGGTGTTGGGGTGCCAGCAAAAGCTGGAAGTTTCATGACGCGCGAAAGGTAGGGTTAATTAGAATTAAGGATGGCCTAATGTGTGTGCTATATATGATCGCGTGCTAATCGCACTCACCGGCAGTCGCTCCCGATCGAAAAAGCGTCGTCGAATATACGGGAACGAGGGACACGGTGAAACCTCTGAACTATTTAGCCGGCCAGAAATTTTCAATTGGGCTGTCCCAGCTCGTAAACAATAACAGCGGTACGTAATGACAATTGGACTGAATCATGTATTGTTTGTATAGGCTTTGTAAAGTGCGCTACAATTTCGAACGCATACATCGCGTACTTTAGGAATCGTCCTCTCTCTTCTGTGTCCGTTTCTTAAGTCAGCGTCACCGCTTATCTGTTAGAAAAAGGTCCCTGTGGAATATCGAGTGCATCGATTTCATCGAAGCATTCCGGCTGAATCGCCGGAGTCGCTTGGCACGATTCCGCCGAACCTGCGAAGCAGCTAGGTTCGACGGACGCGATACCGGGATTTTACAGCGGAGCTGTTAAGGGTGAGTTTCTCCAGTATCGTGTCCGTCAGCAAACAAATGATGACACAATACTCTAGACCGCTACCGCCATCTATGAGCGACAACGGCAACCAGACAACCGGCTTGCCTGTTGTCTGGTTTCTGCCGTCGCTCATAGATGCCGTTAGCTTTCCAGCCTTTTCACTCTCAGGCTGTGTTCCAAATCTTACCCTAATGGATCCGAGTTACTCCGGCGGATCGGGTCACGTGACAGCACAGTTTGAAAAACGCTGGACGCGGGTTGGTTTCAGAACGCCAAGGGTACAAAACCCTTACCCTGGATTATGATCGAGTAAATTTTGGAACACGACCTCAGTTTTCACTCTGGCTTGCCGACTTGCGGCCGGCCATTACTTCATTCCCACCATACTACAGCTTCGCTGGTCTTCCTTCCTCACCAGGGTGGAAAGGCTCAAAGTTTTTTTTTTTCGCTTTTGTTTTTCCGTTGACATTTGTGTTAAATTTAGGTGAAAATAAATGCTGGTTTGCACTCGTTATCACCATCACTAGCTTGTTTTTGAACTGCTTACCGCTACCTCGTATGGTTGTTTTGAAACGTGACAACACGAGGACGAACCACACTGGCCGATTGCATCTAGGCTAGGTGCCGCAAGCTACAGCCCATAGATAACCCGCAGAGACGATGTGGTTGCCACGGAGACGCGCATGCGCAATGTGGGGTACTGCGTTAGTCTACGCTGGACTGCAAACACCATCGTTCGGGCGCTTCTCAGCGCGGCGTATCGTGGCGCAGTGGCCGACGAACGTCGATCTGCGCCGGCGCGCGTTGCGTTCGTCGACGTTGGCGTATAAACAACTCTTAATTCTAGTATCGTATCCAAGAAAGAGGGACACCATTTCGTATTCCGATGATATTTCTTTTTAGTGCTACGTACTCGGGGGGAGGGGGGGGGGGAACTAAGATTTATGACTAAAAGCTATGACTAGGGGGCATAGTTAGTTGACTTGTGCACTATACCTATAATGCAAAGGTAAGGCTATGAGAATAGTATTCGGGCCTTTGTAATTATCAAGAAGTAATAAATAGGACGCACGCGTATTCGGCGCTATGTTAGAAAAAATAAGCCCGTTTCAGAAGAAAATACCACTTGCTGGTCCTTGTTTTAAGGGCATTCCCAAATCCTTCAAATAAAAGGCATTTAGACCTTGGGTGAATCATCTCGGGATATCCACTTTGCGTCTGCCACTCAGCATGCGCTGGTCGCTGGTACTCGGAAGACCCTCTATACTGAAGGGTTTCGAATCACCAGCACAGCAGGTTTTACATGCTAAGAATGATAATGAAAACACGGAATCAGCAAAATTAGACACGGTCGATTTCCTACATTAGAGGTAAAGGCAAGTTACTTCTACCGGTTTACTAATTGCCTTTGATTTACGGCAGATTTGGATACGCGAGCAGGTTGCGGATACAGACAACTTGTTCGCAAGCAGTTTACCGACTTGACCGTGAGCGACACTCTGTATGAGCCTGAGTTTAATACAAGCGCTAACGCAGCGCTCTTGCTTACTTTGTATGGTGAACTTAGTTTTAGTTCTAGACTTATAGCACGCCTGCACATTTATCCTTTATCGACGACCACAAAGCCTTCCCTGTTTACACTCGGCGGCCATCGGCGAACAAAAAATCGACATTGTTAGCACCTACGATGACAATAAAAAAAAGAAAACAACCTAAGTTGACAAATCTAACTTTTAAGCGAGCCCTTCCTCAAATTGTATGGAAATTATTCATTATTCGAAAGATTTGAAGGCAGTTCCGTGAACACCAAAATTGAGTTGACGCCTCACTGCCTTTGAGTGCCGTTCGGCCAGAATCCGACCCTGGATGTACTATCGTAAAGATCACCTTAAAGCTTAACCCTACCGATTAAGACTTGTTTATTACCTATTCTGCTAGGAAAAAAAAAGCCTATAAGGAACTGTTGTTCGCCCGAAATTTCAACTAAAATAAAAACTCAGTATTGCTTGCGTTATAAAATAAGGGTCGACCAACTTCAGAAGACGTAAGGCAATCACTTCCACACATCGGTGTGAAGTTGTCATTTTTTTTAATAAGTTAAAACTGTTTCTGTCACCCGCAGAGCGAATTTAACTGGTAGACGTTTTCTGGTTTTGTTCTGCCTCATTAATTGGAACGAACAATTAGATTTGTAGCCGCGTCACGGTGGTATTAAATACAGGAGCCAACAATACGAGGTCTGACATTTTGGTAATCCCCACAGTGTTGGGAAGCGCTTTAAGTAATGTACATTGTATTTAAAGTACTACTTCAAGTAGGATTAGCAAACTTGTACATTACTTGAAGTACATTCTCCGAGTCTGTGCTTCTAATTTACTTAAAGTAGTTTTCTGGTACGTTCTGAGGAAAGCACAACTCTCGACTTCAAAAAACATCCCCCTTCCCCCCCTAAAAAAAAAAAAAAAAGAAAAGAAAAAAGGCTCATGGCCATGGGAAAACGCGCTATTGTTTTTCGAGACATCATTTGGTCATTTCTATAGTTCATCAGAGAGAGAAAAACTACCCTGTGACCGATTGGCTTTATATAATATTTACCGCGATTTTCGAGAATAACTGATGCACCCCGATGACCCTTGGGAAATTGCATGCCAGTTAAAAAAAATACTTTATAGGGGAACAAAAGTGCATTACGAAACATTGTGTTAAAAGTACTTGTACTTTGCCTCTTAAAGTACATGATATTTATAATACACTTTACTTCAAGTACATTGCGCCCGGTGCACTTACTACTTCAATTGAAGTACACAAGCTCTTTTACTTTGTACTTTAACTACATTTTAGATGTACATTTTTTAACACTGAATCCCCATCAATGTGCACCAAACCCAGGGAGGAAAAGAAAGAGAGATTCCGTGAATAAATAGGCCTGCAAATGAATGCAGAATAAAAACAGCGTGCGAATGAACATACGGGTGTTCAGGCCCGCCCGGCTGTTGCGGGTGATCTGACGGTTGGTCCGTGGGCGGAAGCAATACAACTAAAAACAAATCATCAGGGGGTCCTCTGCAAAACAAAAAAGGGCAAAAACGGAAAGAGCGATTGAGGCACTTACGGAGGAAGAACTGGAGGTCTGGGTTGAGGTGGGAAAGGGAAAGAAGGCCTGGAAGGAAAGAAGAGACGAGCTGAATCTGAGCCGTGCGGGAACAAGAAGGGGGAGGACAGTGACGACTTTTGTTCGCCATTTCCAGACTTTCGGGGAGAAAAGAACACAGTTGAAACAGAAGTGGTCAAGGGAGGAGAGCGCCCTCGTGTAGCACGAAGAGGGGGACGGCTATGGCTTGCACATAAACAAGATGTGGTGTCAAGTTAGCAGGTAGTGACACTATGCAATTATATAATTCGAACTCATTGCCATATGCCTGCTCTTCAAAAGATTATGTTAATTGATCTGGAATTCTAAAACGCAGTACGAAAAATATTATGTGTTGAGACTTTTCTATTGAACCGCTTTACAAAAACAAACATCGGAACTAAACACAATTACGCCTCTCGCAAATGGAGATGTTACGAAAGGGTATCCGGTCCCAAAATTAGTTGCTGGGCGAGTTGGTTAGACATGTTGACCTAAACAGCGCAAATAAGGTAAGGAAGGAAGAGACAACAGGAAGGAGAGAGCGTTGTCTCTTCCTTCCTTACCTTATTTGCGCTGTTTAGGTCAACATGGGTATCCGGTCCACATAAAATGCTAACCTTTTTAATGTATGATTTACAACTTACAACTGACGTTCGGCGCAATGGAAAATAAGCGTGGAACTCACTCATCAGATGGACCCGGAGGAGGTCTGTCAACAGAAGGAGGGTAAGAGGGAGGGGGTCTGCTAGGTGGAGATGGAGGCCGTACTGGGGGTGGCCTTGGTGGGGGTGGGCATCCGGGTGGGCACCCGGGCTGCCCTTGGAAGCAGCCTGGTGGGCAGCTCGGTGGTGGTTGGTATGATGGTGGTGGCCTCTGGGGTGGAGGCCTTCGTGGCGGTGGACAGTCAGGAGGACAACCGGGCTGCCCTTGGTAGCAACCTGGAGGGCAGCTTGGTGGGGGCTGGTATGAAGGGGGTGGCCTTTGTGGCGGGGGCCTTGGAGGCGGAGGGGGTTGATACGATGGAGGTGGCCTTGGGGGAGGAGAGGGAGGTGCTGGTGGGCACCCAGATGGACATCCAGGCTCTCCTTGATAACAACCTGGTGGGCAGCTTGGTGGCGGTTGGTATGATGGTGGTGGCCTTTGTGGCGGGGGCCTTGGAGGCGGAGGGGGTTGATAGGATGGAGGTGGCCTTGGGGGAGGTGAGGGAGGTGGTGGTGGGCACCCAGATGGACATCCAGGCTCTCCTTGATAGCAGCCTGGTGGGCAGCTTGGCGGTGGTTGGTATGATGGGGGTGGCCTTTGTGGAGGGGGCCTTGGAGGTAAGGGTTGTGGGGGGCACCCAGGTGGACAGCCAGGCTGTCCTTGGTAACACCCTTGCGGGCAACCTGATGGGCAGTCCGACTTGCAAGCGGCCGGACAGCCAGGTTGACCTGGTTGACAACCTGGTGGACAAGCCGGTAGACAATCTGGCGGACAGCCGGGTTGTCCAGGTTGACAACCCTGCGGACAACATGTTTGGGGCACCGGTGGCTGGTATGTTGGAGGGGATGGATATGAAACAACGGGCGGTGGTTGGTATACTACCACTGGTGGATATGCTGTTGGTGGCCTTTGAGGAGGTGGTCTAGGAGTAGGGAAAGGCCTTGGTGGTGCAGGGGCCGGTTGTTCTGGCCCACAGCCCGGCTGTCCCGGTTGGCAAGGTGGCTGATAGGCTGGCGGTGGCCTACGTGGGGGTGGTGGTCTTTGTGGTGGAGGAGGTATAGGTCTTGGTGAAGGTGGTGGTGGTCTTTGAGGAGGAGGGGGTGGTGGTCTTTGTGGTGGTGGTGGAGGAGGATATGAAGGCGGGGGCCTTTGAGGTGGCGGTGGTGGAGGGTAGGATGGTGGTGGTCTTTGTGGAGGTGGTGGTGGACACCCAACGGGGCAACCGGGCTGACCTTGGTAGCAACCTGGTGGGCAGCTTGGTGGAGGTGGATATGATGGTGGTGGCCTCTGTGGTGGGGGCCTTGGTGGTGGTGGACATCCAGATGGACAACCAGGTTGTCCTTGGTAACAGCCTGGTGGACAGCTTGGTGGAGGTGGATATGATGGTGGTGGCCTCTGTGGTGGGGGCCTTGGAGCAGGAGGTGGCCGTGGTGGTCTTGCTATTGGGGGTGGATATGCAGGTGGGGGTCTCGATACAGGTGGTGGTCTTGGAGCAGGTGGGCGAGGTTGGGGTGGGGGATATGAAGGTGGTGGTCGTCTGGGAGGAGGCGGTGGAGGTACTGGTCTAGGTGCAGGTGGGGGATATGAGGGAGGTGGTCTTGGCAAAGGAGGTCTCGGTGGTGGCCGTGACGGAAAAACAGGTGGCCTTCTGGGGGGTTCAGGAGGTGGAGGGGGGCCAGGCTGCTGTTCAGGTGGGGTGTAAGCCGGAGGAGGTCTCCTTGGAGGCGGAGGTACAGGCCTCGGTCGGGGTGGAGGGGGTGGTCGGGCCACGGGAGGTGGCGGTCTGGCCACTGGAGGGCGGGGTGGTGGTCGTGCAACTGGTGGTGGAGGTCGATAGGTAGGGGGTGGTCGCCTTGGTGGAGGTGGTGGTGGGGGCCTCGGAGCTGGAGGGCATCCAGATGGACAACCAGGTTGCCCTTGGTAGCAGCCTGGTGGGCAACTTGGTGGTGGAGGGGGCCGATATGATGGAGGTGGCCTTGGTGGTGGGGGACACCCAGATGGACACCCGGGCTGCCCTTGATAACATCCAGGGGGACAGCTTGGTGGTGGTTGGTATGATGGTGGTGGCCGCTGCGGTGGAGGCCTTGGTGGAGGAGGAGGTTGATATGGTGGAGGTGGGCATCCGGATGGACAGCCTGGTTGTCCTTGATAGCAGCCTGGTGGACAGCTTGGTGGTGGAGGGGGCCTTGGTGGAGGTGGTGGTGGAGGTGGTCTTGCCACTGGTGGAGGAGGCCTATATGCAGGAGGAGGCCTTGGTGGAGGGGGCCTTGGTGGTGGAGGTGGACACCCAGATGGACAGCCAGGCTGTCCCTGATAGCAGCCTGGTGGACAGCTTGGTGGTGGAGGAGGTCTTGGAGGAGGGGGTGGAGGAGGGGGTCTGGCCACTGGTGGAGGAGGCTGATATGCGGGAGGAGGCCTTGGTGGAGGGGGCCTTGGTGGTGGAGGTGGGCACCCAGATGGACAGCCTGGCTGTCCTCGATAACAGCCTGGAGGACAACTTGGTGGTGGAGGGGGCCTTGGGGGAGGAGGTGGTGGAGGTGGTCTTGCCACTGGTGGAGGAGGCTGATATGCAGGAGGCGGCCTTCGTGGGGGAGGTGGGCACCCTGATGGACAGCCAGGTTGTCCTTGATAGCAGCCTGGTGGGCAGCTTGGTGGTGGTGGAGGCCTCGGAGGAGGAGGTGGCGGAGGTGGTCTTGCAACTGGTGGAGGAGGCTGATATGCGGGAGGTGGCCTTTGTGGTGGAGGTGGGCACCCAGATGGACAGCCGGGCTGTCCTTGATAGCAGCCTGGTGGGCAGCTTGGTGGTGGAGGAGGCCTTGGGGGAGGAGGTGGTGGAGGTGGTCTTGCCACTGGTGGAGGTGGCTGATATGCAGGAGGTGGCCTTTGTGGTGGAGGTGGGCACCCAGATGGACAGCCGGGCTGTCCCCGATAGCAGCCTGGAGGACAACTTGGTGGTGGAGGGGGCCTCGGAGGTGGACGTGGGGGAGGTGGTCTTGCCACTGGCGGAGGAGGCTGATATGCAGGAGGCGGCCTTTGTGGTGGAGGTGGGCACCCATATGGACAGCCTGGTTGTCCTTGATAGCAGCCTGGGGGACAGCTTGGTGGTGGAGGGGGCCTCGGCGGAGGAGGTGGTGGAGGTGGTCTTGCCACTGGTGGAGGAGGCTGATATGCAGGAGGTGGCCTTTGTGGTGGAGGTGGGCACCCAGATGGACAGCCGGGCTGTCCCTGATAGCAGCCTGGTGGACAGCTTGGTGGCGGAGGAGGTCTTGGTGGAGGGGGTGGAGGAGGGGGTCTTGCCACTGGTGGAGGAGGTTGATATGCAGGAGGAGGCCTTCTTGGAGGTGGCAGTGGCCTCGGAACAGGAGGCGGTGGCAACCGTCGTGTTTGTGGTGGAGCCGGGGGAGGATATGCTGGGGGTGGTAGCCTTCTTGTCTGTGGAGGTTGGAATGAAGGTGGCACGGGTGGAGGTGGTGGGTATGACGGTTTAAGAGGGGGTCTCAGTATGGGAGGTCGAGTCGGTGTTGGTTGCCTCGGCACTGCCGGTGGTGGCCGGTACGAAGGTGGTGGCCTTCTCGGTGGAGGCTGTGGGCGACTGCAGAAAGGTGTATAATAAATTAGGGCACATTCAACGGAATACTATAATTTTGTTATACTTTGAATGTATTTATTTGTGATCTAGTCACTGGGAAAAAGTATAAAAGATGCATGTCAGTTTGTTATCTTACGGTGTATAGATTTTCGGTCGTTGAGGCATTGTATTAGGTGGTGGATATATTGGATGTGGCCTTCTTAATGGTGGAAGCCTGGAAAATAAAAATTACATAATAGACAAGGTAATTTGCAACGAACGAAATATACAATATTGTATAAGGCGCCCATATACTTCGACATTTCCCGCGCGCGAACGAGTGCTTGTTAAGCCAAGGGTGGAGGCGAGCTGGTTGAATATAGACATTTTAACCCTGGAGGGTGGGGACAAGGAATCGGCTGCGTCACGGCGATTACGTGCACGTCAGAAAATGCTTCTGTATACGCTTCAACCTGCTTAAACATCTCCGACGGCGCTGGGCCGTATGTGCATAGCGCTACCTCGACCGCACGTTCTGTTTTTTGTTTGTCCCCTCTAGCTGCTATCCGGCGAGCGGAGGAGGAGGTGGTCTGGCGGTTTTAGCGCGGCCGTCGCGAGATTAGTACAAACCCCTTTCGCGCTGGGGATGTTCGTGCGCGCCTAACGCAGCCGGCCGCGTCGACTGCGTCAAGACGTCGGGCTCTGGACTTCCTGTTTTTGACGACTTAGCGTCACCATGACAAGCGCGGGCGCGCGTGCATTGCGTTGGTATATAGTGGTGCCTATACAGTTCATTTAAATGCCGATCTGGATATAATTTATATAAGTTCAAGCCTTGTTGGATCATCGTCGACATTTCGCAGTGGTTATCGCGACAGATGTTGATTTTAGTGTGTTCGTTGGGCGGGCAGAGAATGAGATTTGAACTGAACCTCCCGTCACTACTACATGAGTTACTGGTGACTGTGTTGATGATAGCAATCTTCTGTGAAGTAATATCTAAAAATATTTAAGTGCTTAAAGCGACTATTGATTGTTTTAGCGTACTATACCAGTTCAACCATAACCTTTTCACAAGATAAAAATGAGTGTATTATTTTGTCTCTGTGTACTTGTTATCGAAAAAATATGACAATGTAGCAATGTCAAGCTTCTCAACTCGCAGCTGGAAGATGTGGCGGATGTGCCAAAGTTTCAGAACGAATCCTTATCCTA